ATTGTACTGTATTTGTGTGTGTAGGTGCCTGTATATTGGTATAAATATTTAAGAGTACTTTTGGAAAAGAACTTTCAAAAAATTTGAGATTAAAAATTTATCTTAATCCTATGTAGATTTGGGGTGGCGGTAGAAAAATGTACGTTGCAGGAAGAAACCTGGCCTCATTTTAAGTATCGGGCTTCTTTTTGCTTCTTAGTAGGAAGTTAGAGGGATCCAGAAGAATTGGAGAGAGTAATTTTTTAAAATTGTGTTGAAAAGGTCCTGTTTTAAGGGTAGAGAATGAAGCCCTCCTGTGTGCAGCGGAGGGGGGAATAGCCCTGGAGGAGCCGTGCCGTTGGTGAAGGAAGATGTAGGTGTGTGCGTGCTGTCTGCGAGGGAAGGCTGTGTCAAAAGCAGTGAGGCTTTTGGCGTGTGCCAAGAGCAGGGCTTCTGGTTTCTGGCAAAGAAAGATAAACCCCACATTTTCAATGCTATCTGGCAATCTCCAGCTGCTTTCCCCAGCCTGCTTCAGCTTCCCTGCCCCTGCTTAGCAGAGGGAACTTTTGGGATGAGCTGCTGCTCACCCCTGGTTTGACATAGAGCTGGGTGCTACAAGGAACACATATACATCATTTGTGTGGTGTGTCTGCCAACATAGGAGTGTATACAGTTACCTGTGTATGGTCCTAGTACCTCCTAGGTCTAGTATCCTTCCACAAAAAAAAAAATTACATGGTGTGTGGTCACCTATATTTTTTAATAATGCTTCAGAAATAAAGCCTCTTTATGCAGAATTAGAAGGATGTTATAAAGAGCATAGCCCGTTCATGAGAAGTATTATTTTTCACAACATATGTGCTTGGGCTCTTGATTTGATTTATGCAATGTCTTCCTTTTCTGCATTCTTTGTTATACCTGTAAATATATATGTATATGTATGTGTACACACATTTATGTGTCAAAGCATTGTCTGGGAAGAAGGTGGTACATCATTTGGTTATTCTTTTTAAAATATTAGAAGCTTTAATGAAAATAATAGAGTTTATTTCTAGAATGCTTTTTGTAACATATAGTTAAGCAATTTGAGCAAATTTTGCTTAAACGTCAAGGTTATCAGAGTTAATTCTGAACTAAAAAAATAAATGCCTAGAATAGTTTATGACTTTTCCGTTTAGGTTTTTCATATATTGATGATTTCAAAACTGGAGTTTTCTGTTTCTTAGTCTTGGGTTTTTTTCTTGGTATCTGGAAAATCAGCTGAGTTAAGGGACTGACAGTGCTATTACGAGGCAGTTGGTCAACACTCAATTTATTCTCATTTGATGAGGAGAACATAAAAATCTGGAGCAACTCTGCAAAATACATAACTACCTACTTTCTTATACTGCATAGGGTGGTGTAAGCACTCACTTGGATGGTGCTAAAAACAAAAGTTTGACTAGTGAAGAAGCTGCATGAATTCAGTTATCTTAAAAATGTTTGTTCCAGACATCCCAATTGTGTTAAATTCTTTACAACCTACATAGCAGGGTAGTAAGTAAAAAAGACTCAGTTGCTTTACTGAATACCAAGAAATCTTTTGAAGGACTAATTCTCCCGATTTGCTTTTACTCACTTCATATGACTGATACTGTTTCAGGCATTGAAGGTAAAAATAAAAATCAGAGAGAATTAAGATAAAAAGATGGATCCTTGTAAATAGAAAAGAACAGTACATTCTTTCCTTTCTCCAGTTTTCTAGGAAGGGCAAGCTAATGCCGTGACTTTTTTTTTTTCTCCCCCCGCCCCCGCTTTAAATCAGCTCTTCAGGTGCTGGAAATGTAGCAGACCGTGTCTTGGCTCAGTTGTTAACGGAAATGGATGGGATAGAACAGCTGAAGGACGTGACAATCTTGGCAGCTACAAACAGACCAGACATGATAGACAAGGTACAAATAGATGCACTGTTGTATGTCCTGTTCTCTTGAGAAGACCAGATTTTGGAGTAATTCCATTCTCTTACTCTCCAAACTGTTGTCTAATCAATTTAATGATTAAGAGTAGGAGTTTTAAAATGAAGACAAGGCAAAGGAAAGGATGTCCCTTGCCTTTTCTTTTTCCCCTCTACAGAATTTTTAACAGAAACAAAATGTTTTGTGATAGCCTTAAGTATCTGTTTTTTTCCTTAAATCAAGCTCATTGAACTTGTGCAACATTTATGTCAAACTGCTTCTGTGGTTTTTGCTTCTGTTGTGTTTGTTTATGCAGGAGTTTGCTGGTTTCATTAGTTACTTCCTTTCAAAAGATTAAATATCTCCTCAGTGCTATTAGCCTGCTGCCAGCAATATGGTTTCCAACTGTAAACAGTGCAATTTCTCCTTAGATCCTGCGGCAGCTCTGCTGGAGCAACGAGAACATTTCAAGTTTGCAAAAACAGGAGGGTTGTAATGCTTACTGCTGAAAACCTCTGAACACAAAACCAACCCAGCAGCCCTCTAGAAAATCCACTTTAAAACTGTCTACCACTGCTGTGTCTTCTCACAGTTAAATGCAGTAGACGGACCAGTCTGAACTGATTTCGTTTAAGATATGTTTTGTAGTGTTGGTAAGGTTCTTTATTCCACAGCTTTTCACCTTCACAACATTCATGAATTTGATGACAAGCAAATGAAATTTATTTTTCCTGATCTTTTCTAGGGTTTCTTATAAGTTTCTTAAGTAGTTTTAATGTTAACAAATTCTCCCATTTTAATCTGGAGTAGTCTCTTCTGTTTGTCTTGGAGCATTCAGGCATAAAATACATATGAAGCGCACACTTTAAAAGTAAGGTTCATATACACATGAAGTCTTGAGAACAGAACTTGTATTTTGGTATCAGAACACAGGCTCTTCCCTTTTGAACTGAAGGAAGCCACACAGCTGATGGTGTCCTGATGAAGGCTTACTTAGAGCTTGCTTTTACACTATCTGTGTGCCTGCCATGGCAAAGTAGAGCTAGCAAAGGGTTTTCAGTAAAAGACGATAAAACTCATCAGTGAAAAATATGCTTGTAGAGAATTGAAATTTTCAAGATTCTACTTTTGTCAAATTGATTTCAGTTTTCTTTGGTGGCTATTCTTTGGGGCCAGACTAAGCTGAATTTGAAAAAAATCTGTTGAACAAAAAAGAAATTTCCTTCTGAGACAGTTCATCATTGTGCTTTGTTATATCCATCACCACATGGGAATTCAGTTCTCTGTCATTCTCCCTTTTGCTGGATTTCTCTTGGGCCCACAGTAAATGCTGTTTTCTTATATTTTATTTTTTATTTGAAACATTGGCATACTGGGACAGTGTTTATTTGAAATATTGGCAATATTTGGACAGTACTACCATGTGTTAAGGATGCCACCCTGCGATACTGAGAACTTTTAGATGGAACCTAAGTTACTAGATATATGCCAACTGTACCTGCGTCACTGATGCAAATTCAGACCTCTTAGCCTGGGACTGAAAGTTTTCGTTTTAATATGGTGGGTAAAAATTTGACATCTTTGGTGCATCTGAATTTTCTGTGGGTGATGAACTTTTAAGAACTAACAGCACAGTTGTGTTTTAGATGGCGGCGTATCTTATGTCTTCTTTCCCCAAGTAAAGCTGATAGTCTTGACTCTAAATGTAAAGAAAAGGAAAAAGTTGCATGAGACAGTGCTGCCCCCCCAGTAGCCAGCTGTGTGATTATAGGAATCTTTTTAGCAAGAAACCATGAATGGATATTTTAGATTTTTATTTAAAACTGTTTTCACAATTTTAAAATGTAATGGAAAAAAAAGTTCTGGTGACTTTGTAGAAAGTGTTCACTTACAGAATAGCAGAGCAAAATTTCACCGATCTGGAGGAGGGGGGGATTTTCCATGTGATTTAAAGGGACTGGAAAAATCACGTTTGAGTTGGTATTGCTCACATTACTTCATCCAGATCAGACAGGCTATACCAGGCCACTGTCTTCTCCTGGGTTCATGCAATATTTGCAGCGCACAAGTTGCACTTTTTTTTTTTCCCCTGGAAGAAGGACAACTGACACCAGAAAGTGTTTGTATTGTGAACTTCACTTAATGGGAAATCTTTCAGTATGGGCTTTTAGTTTACTTTGTGATCGGTGATCCCTTTGAAAAGGTAACATTTTGTTAAATCAATTTAATATTTTTGTTTGGAAATACCTGTTCAGTTATGTATTACAATAAATGAATGTCCTGTTTTCATAGGTGTATGATGACTATACAGTAATTTTTAATGCATGGACTGTACATATGGTAAAAAGGCACGAGGCAGTCTGTGTTCTTTACTTGCAGGGACTGGGAAGATGTCTGGTATACTTTTTGTGACTACCTTTTAGCTTTTCAAACCAAGAAATGCTTGAGGAATGCACGCTTTTTAAGTTTTATATTATATACTTACAAAATTGGTAATCCATTCAGCATCTTCATTTATGTGGCTGCTTCTTAACTGACAAATATGTGATGATTAATTTTTTGTAATTCAAAAACAGCACGTGGGAATATCAAATGTAAGGGTATTCCCCTGAGCCTAGCGCAGACTTCATTGTCCCTGCAAACACTACAGTATGTTGCTTTCAGGTAGTGAATAGATTTTGAGTCAGACTTTATAAAGTTATGTTTAATGGTAAGCTTGTTTTGACTAGTTACAAATGCCTATTAATAAGGTAATTTCTCTAAGATGTCATGATTGTATTGAAATATTGTTCCAACCTTAAGTTGTGTGCCATGTTTGTAGCACTTAGCTACTTTGCATCCCATTTATGTGATGCTGGAAATACTTTGGGATAGTTTCTGTTTTTCATAAGAAAACAAAAACAGCACGTACTGTTTTCAGCCATGTATGATACAGAAAGTGATTTCTCTTGGAAGGGAAATATTCTGGAACAAGATGTTCTGAACATTCTTTGAAAGTGATACAGTAACAAAACACTCTGAGTCAGTGATAATGGTAAAATCTTCCCTTTTATTCTTTATTCTGTAAGTAGAATTGATGAGCAATAATTGGAAAAATGCTTTCAGTTTTTGGTGACTTACCCACTCAGGAGGGATTTTTTCATACCTAAAATATTTTACAGTAACTTTTTATGGAGCTGCTTACGATTCAGAGCTTGTCTGTATTTTCCCATGTATCAGTTGGCCTAACGAGAGATCACTCATCCCCACAAACCTCGCATAAAATATTTTGAACACTGTGTATAATTTGCTTAGCTTGAACTTAAATGTTCTATTCAGTCATATATGTGGACAAGTTTTTAGGTGTAGTCTGACAGGTTTCTGTGGAAGACAACCTAGACCAACTCGTCAGGATTTGTGTGTCCTTTTTTTTTTTTTTTTTTTCAGTGGAACCTGTTTTCCTAGCCTTTTAGTACTGGGCTTATTTCTTGGGTGAGAAGGGTGAATTGCTATCATTACCTGCCCATGCAGATATCTTTTCTTCCTCTTAAGCAGTGTTTCAATCTCCATTAGCAAGGGTACAGCGAAGGAAGAGAGACTGTCAGATCCCCAGGGACCTTGGTGAATGTTTTAGCACAGGAAGCAAGATGCATGTTGCTGCGGCATCAGATATTTTACCTCCTGCTGGGTCAAATTCGAATGTCAAACACATTAGCTGTGATGTAAAACACGAGGCGCTGAGTGAAGTGATGGCCTGTGGTATAGGATGACATCCTGGTGCTCCTGACAGCTTCACTTCTCCTTATCATGGGGTGCAGAAAAGATGTATCCTCAAATATGCTATTTGCATAAGAATGACAGGATGTGATAGGACAAATGAAGATTAATGAGATGCTGTGCTGTCAGCGTTGCCCATTGTCTCTAGATTGATGATGGTCTGGATTTTGTCCGTGTTCATGGGCTTCAGTGTAGTTTAAACCAGAAACTATCCTGGTACGCTGAATACTGAAGAGCTGAATCTTTACGAATGCTTTGTTAGTACAGGAGGGCTTGGCTCCCAATTTCGAAGCATCTTGCATGTTGGTATAAGAACGTGTGTTCTGCGTATTGTGCCAGCGCAGAGGATTTTTGCTGCCTCCTTTTGCGTATTTATTTTGCTTTTTAAAAAATTCCTGCTCCCTAGCCTTCCTCCTCACTTTCTTCCTCTTGCACCCTCTCTTCCTTCACCTGCAAGTTTTGCTGTTCCTTGGATAAGCTCTGTTGGCTTCAGTGTATGAACCGCTGGGTTTGAATTCAACTTACTTAGTTTAAGAACCACGTGGATATTACTGAGTTGTCTGTTCTGCTTACGTGAACGAAATAAAACAAAATTGTAGCCCATATTCTTCCTAGCAACTGCCAAGCATGAGGAAAGGGTATAAAACTCCCTTCCCCCGTGGTTCATTTGGATTTGGAGGAGTCTTTCGGGCAGAGAAGTCAAACAGAGGTTCATCAAGTTGATCTGACCGTCAAAATGTTGATTGCTCTGTAGTTATGGGACAACCTTAATTTAAAGTGGCTTGTTTTGATGAAAATAAAAAAATGCGTGATAAAGCCATTTGGCAGAATCAGTGAAGAAATTATAATTTCTTGCCTGCAGCAAAAGTAAATAATCTTTTCCTCTTTAAAAACATCAAAGTTCTGTCTTTCTGAAGGCTTATGGAAGAAATTCAAATATTTAGGTTTGCAGTTTTAAAAGTTAAAAGGAATAGGAAAGAATCTTGCATATTTATTCATTATTGTCTGGAAATATATGTGTGCTGTTATAAAGCAGGTGATGCTACAAGCATATTTAGGAGTCAGATGCAGTGGCAAAAACTTAACTCACTACCACATAATATGTTTTCCTATTTACATATTTTCCTATTTGTGATTTCCATTTTGGTCAGATGTGTCTTACTAAAGGTTCTTCCTATGTTACGGTTTGGGTTTGGTAGGATTTCAGTTTTCCCAAATATAGTGTAGGACTGTAGAGATAC